CACATTAGCAATATCCGTGATGTACTCTGGCCCTAAGTATTTCTGATAAGTTGTTTTGTCCTGAAGGTTAGCCAAACATTCTGTGTCATCACTGAAGAGCAGGTCCTTGGTTGAGGATTTGAACAACTGGAACATCATATATTCAAACCCATTTCTTCCAAAGAGCTCCTGGGTCAGACAGACAGACAGACAGACAGTGAGTGGCCAGTTGCCCCAGGGAGCACAGGGTTGTGTATTCTGCTTCAAAAGGCCTGAGCCTGCTGGACTGTTCAGTTCCAGCCCTTGGGAAACCTGGGACACAGCAACAATTTTGGAGGCAACATAGTAAAATGACAAAAGTTACTGCCTCTGGATTCAAATCCTGGCCCTACCTTTTCCTTATCATGTGACTTTAGGAAGATTCTTTACTGAGCTCAGTGAACCTCAGTTCACCCACAAAAGAGTGAGATAATGCACGTAAAGCAACTGCTACTATATCACTATTCTGCCAATCACTGCCAGATGTTTGTAACTTTCTGGGTCCTACTTGTAGGCCTTCCTGCTGCCTCACCTGGATCTGCCCCAGGTACTGGACCATTTCCATCTCTTCCTTCCCCTCCCCTCTCTTCCTTTGTCCATTTCCCTTGTAACCAAGGTGGCATCCCTTCACAAGTCCATGACCAGGAGCCTCTGGTTTTGCCAGCTCTCCCTGGATCGTCCTTTAACTGCGATGTGTGGGCAGCATATGTGAAGACATGGATTACTCATTGAAGCACCTCCAAGAATGGAGGGTGCTAGTGCAAAAGGCAGATGAGGCTTTGGGTTTTCCTTAAGATCATTTGATTTGGGCAGCCTGCTACTCCACAGGCTCAGCCCTTGTTGGCTGCCTATAGAGGTCATACAATGAATGCTGTCCTTTTAACTTTCATAAAGCCCCAAACAGTGCTTAGCCTGCCAGGTTCAGGATACACACTGGGATCTACCGAGGCCAGGTAGAGTAAACTCCATTCTGCTTTTCCCACATATAACTCAGCCTAATGCGAAGGGCACCAAGCTACCTCCTTTATTTCTGTGATAAAACAAGCCCAAGAGGTTTCATGACACTGCTCAGAAATTCAAGTGAGTCTCAGGGAGACGCTTCAGATGCCTACGTGTCAGAGGCCTTTCCGGTCCGCTTTGATATCCTAGATGCCCCAGAGCAAGAAGTGAACATGGGTACCAGCCTTCTTCTTTTATCAGAGGCAAGGCTGCAAGAATCAAGTTCCGCTGCCCAGGGAGAAAGAGTGTGAGACTTGGCTGGGGTGTGCCTGTGCAGATCTGCAAGTGAACTGAGCATTCAGTTGTGTGTGTGTGTGTGTGTGTGTGTGTGTGTGTGTGTTGGGGGGGCAGGGGGGAGTGACGCGGAAGAGTGGGGGGAGGGGCGGTGGCATGGACTGAAGGCCCATACCTGTTGATTGAAGAGCATTCTGCGAACAAAATCTGCCTTATCTTCCCTTGAGACCACAGCATGACTTGGGGCTCTGCCTAGGTGGCAATTCTCAGCCTCAGTCACTGGCTTCCTGGTGCCATCGAGACACAGCAGCTGAAAGTCATCCTTCTTCAGATTCTTAGCCCAGTCTTCCGGGTTCTTTCCTGGGGAGAGAGAAGCCAGGACAGCTGATGGCTTTCATCAAGGCGCCCTCATTGGGTAGATGTGACCACCCACCAGTGTCTGGGAAAATCACTGAGATACAGAGCAGTAAAGCTTTTAAAATAAGAGAAGAGAGAGACATTCGTAAACTCATTAATTCGTAAACCTCTCTGGCTAGCACTATTTAAGTTCTGTTCAAGGCAAAGCTTTCTTAAACAGGCATGAAAAAGCACTAGCCAGAAAGGAAAAGATTGATAAACTGAACTATGTAAAAATTAAGAATGTCTGTTCAGCAAAAGACATCAAGAAAGTGAAAAGGCAAGCTTTTTTCAGACATGGACAAGATATTTTCAATACACATGGCTGTCAAAAATTTGTATCCCAAATAAATCAAGAATGCCAATAAAGCAAGGGAGCCAGACGTGTGCAGGCAGACTACAATCGTCTGCATGTCTGTCAGCTGGGTTTAAGGCCAATGTGATAACCGACCCTTGTCAAGTCTGACCAGGCATGAAGAATTTTCTCATTCCCTAAGTAAAAAATGTTAGGATGAAAGTCATGGGAGTCTGATAGAGTTCATAAGCTCCCTTGGTTGCCTAGCTGGGGTGGTGGGGGGGTGATTTCCTGGGAGAGACTCAGATTTTTCCGATGGAGGAAAGGACAGCAGAGGGACGTACCATCAGTGTTCTGCAGGACCGTAGGGTGCTTCACGAAGGCCACATCTCCCTTCTCAACCAGACACCTGCATGGCAAGGGTCAGACCAGTGAGGAGCGTCAACAGGAGTGGGAGGGAGAGACACCGAGGGGGACTCACTGAGAGGCTCACACCTCCTCCACACAGGGCTGTTTCTCTCCCTTGCCCTATTTCTTTCCTTTAGCCCCCCTTCATACAATCCCAGTCCTGAATGAGCAGTATCATCTGCCTCAGATGTGTCTGCACCTAAGTAGTGAGGTAAACCAGAGACCTTCTTGATCATGAACTTGACTTGGGCATTCCTGTTTCCCTTTTTCTCCTCTAGACCTGTGGTTCTCAAGCTTTGAGCTGGGATCGGCAGCATTGGCACCAGCTAGGAACTTGTTAGAAACGCATATTCTTGGGTCCCACCTCAGACCCTACTGGATCAGAAACTTCCGGGGGTGGGGCCCAGTGATCTATGTTTTAACGCATCTTCCAGGAGATTTTGATTTGTGCTCTAGTATCAGAACCACTGCTCGAGACAGCCACCTCCCCACTCTACAGAGCAATGGCTTCAAAAATGTTTTCCTACTTCCCACAAACCTCTGTCTCCCCACATACCCCTCCCCAACACTCCCACACTCCCGTGTGTGCTCCTGCTTCTCAGAGAAAGCAGAGAAATCATTACTGGGCTTCCTTTCAGCATCCCTCTGCCAAATCCACCGCCTAAATTTCCAATGCTTTTCTCCTGTCCTCCAGGTACAAAGAAAGACGGAAGGTCTCCCTCCCCACAAGTGTCCAGGTGCCCTGCATCCCATCCCTGCCTGCACTCTCAGGCACTTTCTTCTATAGTTATCCTGTTTCTCTATATAAGTGGATCTTTTCCCTGTTCTCTAGGCCCTGTGTTGATGCCACACTGCCCTCAGCAATGGGCCTCTCTCTCCCAGTCATCCAAACACCTAAAAGGAATCATTGCACTTACTATCAGCACCCCTTCACGCCACCCTCACTGACCCTTGCAATTCAGCTTATGGGACTGACTCACTATTGAATCTGCTCCCACCAGGCTCACCAGATCCAGGGACCAGTTTGCCATCTTCATTTTATTTGATCTCTCAAGTTCATCCTTTCCCCAGTGATTTGGAATGTCATCTTGGTTATAGAGCAAATATCGTATGTTCGTGTATCTATCTTGGAAGTCTGTTCTCTTCCACTGATTAATTTGTCATTCTTGCACATAAGCCAGCCTGGTATTGATCACAGTATCGCAGTATTATATTGTATTGTAATGTGATTTTTATATCTAGGAAAATAAATGACCTTTGTATAATTTTATTTAAAAATTCTTGGCTCTTGTTTGGTCTACCAAGCTTTAATACTTTTTTGAGAACTGACTCCCCCCACCCCTATTCCCCTCAATCCCCCTGGTCACAGTGGAAGAAACTAACACTTTACAACACAACTTCACTGCACTGTGAGTTGTGTGAGCAGGAAGTTTCCCCTGAACGGGGCTGACAATCCCATTTCCTGGGAATTGAGACGTACATTATGGTCTGTGTTTGCTTCTTTATAACTGAGGAGCTATAACAAGGCTGGGGCTGATGGCCACAGACATTCCCTGCATGTAGACTGAGAAACAGAAAATCGCCCTGCAGGAAAAGAGAAACTGGGGCAGATGGGCAGAAAGGGAAAGAGAGACAAGGGAAGCAGGGTGGGTCCCTTTATACTAAAAACTCATTCATTGTTTATCTGGAATTCTAATTTAACTGGATATCCTGAATTTTAAATGGCAACCTTCACCTTAAAGTACCTTAACCAGCTCCTGAGGCTCAGGTCTCAGCCCCTATAAGGAGGAAGCTCCTAGAGCACCTGGTAAAATACTCGTATCCCCCTTGGCTTAAGATGGTTCACGTGGGATTCTTCACTAGCAACTGAAGGAGACCTTATACATTTTATTAAACAAGATAAGTAGATAAAATGTATAGTATTCTAGAGAGTGATAAGTGCTAAAGAAAACATAAAACAAAAAAGGGGGATATAAAGTATTGGCAAGTAAGTGTGTGTGTGTGTGTGGTGTGTCTGTGTGTGAAGTTATAGAGTGGCCAGCAAAGACTTCCGTGAGAAACCCTAAAGGAAATGAGGGAATTAGCCATGATGTTATGAGGGGGAAGAGCACTCCAGATGGGATAAGAGTAAGTGCAACGGTCCTGAGGCAGGAGTGTGCCTGATATCTTCAAGGATGACAGCTGGAATGCCAACATGGCTGGAGCGGAGAGAGCCAGGGGAAAAAGATACAACGGATGAGCTCACAAAGGGCCTTCCCAGATCACAAAGGGGCCTTGTATCAGAGAAGGACCCTGACCTTTACTCTGAGTGATATGGGAGATTACTGGAGGGCTTTAAGCAGAGAAGTGTGATGCTCTGTAGATAGAGACAACACACACCAAGGTTTTGACTTTTCTCCAAAAAGGAAAAATGGAGCTGCCCTTAACTGAAATGGGGAAAACTACAATGGCTACTCATTTGGGTGGGAGTGTGTGAAATTTCAGAAGCTCCATTTGGGACATTTAAATTTGAGACGGTGATTGGAAATCCAAGTGGGATACCCAATAGGCAATTGGATATACGAGTCTAGAGTTTCATCTGGAGTTTTGAAGAGACAGCTGAACAAGAACGTAAATTTTGATTTGAAGCTGGGGCTCTGAAAGAGTCCATGACTTGTCCACAATCACACAGAGAAAGGAGCAAAAGTAGGACCGGAGTTGCGACCCTGCACCTAGCATTCTGCCTTTCTCCAGGTGCCCTGAGCTAGCCGGGTCTGCAGGAGAGCGTTCCAGCAACAGGCTGGAATGGAGTCCTTGGAGCCACAGGAATTTGCAGTTCTGTTTCCAAATTCTGGCTCCTCCTAAATGCAGCACCCACACACTGGGATGATGAAAAAGGTGAAAAGGCAGGCAGTTCAAGGGGCTGGTGCCAAAGAGGAAGGTGGTGACAGACACTACTCGCCTGAGCGCCCCACTGGAGCCGTAGTACCGCTCGCGGCTCTGGGCAGCACACACATGGGCTGGGGTGCTGCCGCTGCTGCCGCTGCACAGAGCACACAGGCTGGACTCTGGATCAGAACCAGGGGCACAGCTCTGACTGAAGAATTCATCTGTGCAGGAGGAAACGGAAGGTCAACACTTCATGCCTGTGTGAGTGAGAAAACTGCAGATTTTGTCCCTGGAGTTGCCTGAATGATGTAAAGACACATTGGGTATTTGGTACCATATCATTCGAAATAAGAGTCTTACAGAATAAAAAAATAATAAAGAAAGAAAAGAAGAAAAGGTTATAGCTGAAGCCAAGTAAAGGGGGACTGACTGAAGTTGGGACAAGGGTCTGTGAGCTCACAAAAGTCCACTCCATCCCAGCACAGGAAGGGCAGACACAGATTTAATCCTGAAAGAGTGGAAAACATTGGAAGCCCTGGCTGGTTGAATCTGCTCCACATGTTTTCTGACCGCTGCTGCCCTGCCCTTCTTTAAAAAGCCTGCCATCGTGCCTCCAAGTTTAAGAAGGGGCCTGAGGGGCCCAGCCACCAAGCTCTGTGCTAGGCTCCAGGGCACCAAGGTGAGGACCCACCCTCCTGGAACCCAAGTCTGTGGGGTGACAGTCCTAACTCAAGTAACCACACAGTGAATTCGTTTCCCCCCTTGCTCTGGGGAAAAAGAATCTGGTTCCACAAGCTGCAGATAATGGAACCAGGTGCAGACCTGGGAGTCAAGAAGAGGCCTCAAGTCAAGGGATGAAGAATGAGTAGGAGTTACCCAAGTGAAGGGCAAAGAAAGCAACACCTGCAAAGGCCTAGGGCCAGGGCTGGAGGTGGAGGGGCAAACTGCAGGGAGTTTAATGCAAGTCACTGGGGCTGGACCACTCACAGCAAGAGTGAGTAGGGAGGGGCCAGGGGCCAGTGCGCAGGTGACCTTCTACACCTTTGCATAGATTTTGTTCTTTCTTTTTAGAGAAATAGGGAGCTTCTGAAGGGCTTTAGACAGTGCTGGAGCAAGGGTAGTAGGCAAGATACCATCACATCTGTACTTTGCAAAGAATGGTCTGGCAACAAGGTGGATGGAATCCAAGGCAGACGTGGAGTTCAAGCAGCTAGCTACTGTAGTAGTCAAGGGGAGATGAGGGCAGCTTGGTCTAGAGTGGCACAAAGGGGAGGGATATAGGTAGAGGGGGCGAGACTGACATCACTGGTGATGGATGGGTGTGTGGGGGATGGCAGCTCCCAAGTTTTCAGCTGGGGCAGCTGGATGGAGTGTGGGCTCCTTCACTGAGTTAGGCAGCTCAGGAGCAGGACCAGGCTCAGCAGAGACGATGCAATCCATTTGGACAGATTGAGCTCAGTGTGCTTTTGAGATACCTACATAGATAATGTCAAATAGGCAGTTCAATACACACAAGTCTGGAGGTCAAGAGAGATCTGTGCTAATGATAACATTTGATACTATCAACATACAGACATGATATTTATAATAGTGATAGCAGCAAACATTTATCTAGTGCTTGCTGTGTACCCGGCTTTGTACGTACCATATTTTTTTAGACGGTAATTGAGGCTATCGGCATGGATGTGAGTGCTTGGGGACTGAGTGTGAAGAGGGGGAAAAAGCTGCTTTAAGCAACTCAAACATTTATTAACCAGGTTGGGAAAGCGGGACTTTGTAGGGGTAGGAGAAAAACCAAGCCAGTGTGTTTTCACAAAAGCCAAGAAATAGTGTTTTAAGATGATTAGAAGAAAGAGAGGTCATGGAGGAAAAAAACTGGAGCACGTCCTTCCAATTAAGCAACACGTAGGTCTCGGTGGCCTTGACCAGCATTCTTCCTGAGGGATGATGCAGGAAACCAAAGGGCACAGAGTGGAGGGTGGGTGGGAGGTGACTGGTTCCGACCATGTTCTTAAGAAGCCTGACAGTTCAGGGGAGGAGACAGAAGGCAGGAGCTGGAGGAGAATGTCGGGAGAGTGAGGATTTCTAAAGATGGAAGACACTGGGTATGCTTACATGTTGAAAGAAATTGTTGGCGATACTAGAGGGAGACGTAGTACCTGAGGAATGAGGCTCTGAGGAGGGGAGCAGAGCGGGGCCCACACTGAGTGCAGGTAGAGGGACTGGCTGGGCTGTGGAGGGAGGCTGAGCAGATGCAGCCATCAGGAGGCCACAAGGCTAGCAGTGGGATGTTGAGGGGAAACCTGTCTCGTGGTTTCAGTTGTCTCTTGCAGGTGCAGACGAGATCATCTGCTGAGAAATAGTGGTACATAGGCGTAGGATGGAGGCATGTGGACAATTAGGACATTAGGATAATTACTGGGACGTGTGAGGGTGTGGAGCAGAGAAACAGTGGGGGTGCTCCGGAGTGCCAGAGGACCCCTAAGGACAGCAGCTGGAGCGTTTCCAATGGAATGAACTGCTCTGCCCTGTGATGTTCTCCAGCCTTATTCAGCTGCTCAGGTGCCAAGGGAGAACGGACCAGGTAATGGGATTCACACAGGGCTGGCATTTGTCAGGTGGCTGGGGAAAGCAGGGGAGCAGGTAGGTATTGGCAGGAGCGTTGCTGAAATGACTAATATGGGACTCTAAGAGAGATGAGAATGAAACTGAACAATAAAGCAGTCAAGGTTTTCAATTTTAAAAAACAGTTTATACAGAAAAATAACACACACACACACACACACACACACACACACACACACACACATACCACACACCACTCTTGCTTTGGAGTCCCAGGATTGTTCCCTGAGCCAGCTGCAAAACATAAAGAATAAGGTACACTTCTCCCAAAGCATCATATACAAACCACCAACGGATATATGAAAAGATGCTCAACTTCACTAGCTATTAGGGGACTTCAAATCAAAACCATAGTGAGATACAACCTCACACCTGTTAGAATGGCTATTATCAACAAGACAAGTAATAACGAGTGTTGGAGAGGTTGTAGAGAAAAAAAAACCTCTCATACACTGCTGGTGGGAATGTAAACTGGTACAATCACTGTGGAAAACAGTATGAAGGTTCCTCAAAAAAAATTAAGAATAGAATTACCATATGACCCAGCAATCCCTCTCCTAGGTATATGCCTCAAAAATCTGAAACCATTTATCTGTAAAGCTATATGTACCCCTATATTCATTGCAGCATTATTCGCAGTGGCCAAGACATGGAAACAAGAGTGTCCTTCGATACATGATTGGATAAAGAAGATGTGGCATATATATACAATGAAATGTTACTCAGCCATAAGAGGTGAAATACTGCCATTTGCGACAACATGGATGGATCTTGAGATTATTGTGCTAAACAAAATAAGTCAGACCGAAAAAAGTGAAAACCACGATTTCACTCATATGTGGGATCTAAAACTGAAAGCAACAAATAAATAAGACAAACAAGCAAAAACTCGTAGACAGAGACAGCAGTTTAGTGGTTACCGGAGGGTAAGCGGGAGGAGAAGGTCGAAGAGGTTAAAGGGACTCAAATATATGGTGATGGAAGGAGAATTGGCTTTGGGTGGTGAACACACAATGCAATATATAGATGATATATTATAGAATTGTACACTTGAAACCGATATAATTTTACTAACCACTGTCACCCCAATACATTTAATTAAAAAAAAAAAAGAATAAGGTATTTTTCAGAGATCTGCCCTTTGGGCCAAGACACTCGCCTCGGAAACAAGGAGGTGAGGAGAAAGGGAGGATGTGCTCAAGGAGATGTGACACTCGCCCACAATGTGTGGGCACCCCTTGGCTCCACCACACTCTAATGCCATTCCTTGCCATTCACTGAACTGAATTCCTCCCCTACACAGGCACAGACCCAAGGAGGGGGTTGCCAGACCACCTCCCGGAACACACTTACCAAGTTTACAGGACCCAGTTTGGTTGAATATTAGACCCATGGGGATGTGCCAGCCTGCAGAAGTGCCAACGGAGGTATGGCAGGACTTCTTGCCTCGCAGAGAATTCCAGGTGAGATCGGCATCTGATTTCTTCACCACTGCCACAACGTAGTAACCTTGCAAAGGAGATCTCAAGATGCAATTTCAATAGCTCCAGGGCCCTCTAAAAATGTATTCTAGAGCTGCTGCAGCCAGTCCCTGCCGGCCACTTTCTCCAAAGAGGGGGGGAATAGCTTGAACCCCTCACCTCACTCTAGCAGAAGATCCTGAAAATAACTGTCATTATTAGGTACTGGGCCAAACAGACTGATACTACTGCTCCAGATATGTCTACATACATATATTCACAAATATTTACGCACACACTTAATACTTTTGCAGTTGAATCCTGCTGTATATTCTTTTCTTAGTTACTTTCTTCTTTTTCCATGATATATTGTACACACTTTTGCTTCAGAAGAGATAGAAACAGCCCTCTCATTCTACATATTGGTTGACTCAAAGTTATGCCTCACTGCATGGAAGTACTGTATTTTAAATAATTTCCTACTGGTGGGCATTTATACTGTGACCCATTTTTCCCTATTACAAACCACGTATCTGTATAAATCTTTGTGCATATGAGTGTGTACCTCTTTAAAGATTTCTGTTCACTGGAAGTCCAAAAGAAAGAGCTTTAATGACTTCTTTTTTAAGGTTAAGTCTCTGATTTTCTAGGTTTACAATAATACTTTCTAATAGTGATAATTTAATCTCTTCCCTTTCCCAATATATATAAAAAATAACCTTTTTCTTATCTTACTGAATTCACTTCCAAAATAATGCCAAATATCTTTGGTGGAAGTGAACCTTCTCATTTTGTTCCTGATTCTAATGGGAATACCACTGATATTTCACGTCTTCCTATCCCAATGTTATGTAACTGAATTGTGCTTATTAAGTCCTAACCTGCAACGGTGAATTTATAATAAGATCAGAATCATAAATCTTCAGAATTAAAAGACAATGGGGTTCGCCACCACCACTCCTAATGCTCGTAACGCCGAACCCCCATCACCACCACCACACACACACCCTTTCTTACTGCCGTGGTTCAGATCTCAATATATTCAAGCTTGGAAACGTTGTGAGTCAGCATAGCAGATGGAGCACCTGCCTCACCAGTTACTTCCTAAATGACCTCAGACAAGTTAGTTAGCATCTAGGATCCTAAATTTCCCCTCAGTAAAAGAAGGACTACTTAGCGGGATCAGATGTACTAATATGAACACATCGTGTGTGAGGAATGGGAAGAGGAGGTTGCATCACTAGGTTCCCAGCCATGTTGCCAGCGGCAGAAACAGTACCAGAGCCCCGCTCTTGGTGAAGTGGATTCCCCTGAGGCCACCGCAAGCCCTTGCCCACCAGACTGTGCTTTATTACACCATCCCGGCAACCAAATACTGTTACAGTGCCTTCTTGAAATGCAACTCTTTCTGCACAAATGGCATTAATTATTACCATCCATTATGTGTGTTTGTGTGTGTGGCTTTGGGGTTAACCCCTCTCCGTCTCTGCTCAGATCTAACCTTCTCCATCACAGTCAGCCACCTTGAAGTCTATACTAAGCATCCTTGTTGACCTACATTTTGCATATCAATGCGGTTCCTAGAAATTCCAACCACTCTTGAAGCAGAGTTCTGTCTGACTTCACATACCCTATAATTCCACATGGCTGATGGAATGTCAGTCCTTAGGGTTGGGAGAAAGACACAGTTCAAAGAAGGCTGTTGGCAATAAAAGTAGAGAGGGAAGAGGGACAACATATCTTAGGGCTTGGATCCTGTTGCACGTGACCGGAAGCTGCTATAGGGTGAGCAGCTTTGCACTCCTGAGGCCTTTGTGGAGGTGGGTGATGTGGGGCTTCTGTGACCCTGTGCCCAGCAGGAAACAGGGGCTGCTTGTGCTGTGGTGCTCCAAACCTGCTCACCTCCCCCAGCTTGTCTAGCTCATAAGAAACTCTAAACCCATGCTCTCTGATTTCAAACTAAACTACAAGGCTGTAAAAATCAACAGTATGGGACTGGCACAAAAACAGACACATAAATCAATGAAACAGAAGAGAGCGCCCAGAAATAAACCCTCTATTACATGTTCAATTAATCTACAACAAAGGAGACAAGAATACACAATGGAGAAATGATTGTCTCGTCAACAAATGGTGCTGGGAAAACTGAACAGGTACATGCAAAAAAATGAAACCAGACCACTCTCTTATACTACATATAAACTCAAAATTGATTAAAGATGTAAATATAAGACCTGAAGCCATAAAACTCCTAGAAGAAAAACATAAGTAGTAAACTACTTGACATCAGTCTTAGTAATATCTTTTTAGATATGTCCCCTCGGCAAGGGAAACAAAGGCAAAAGTAAACAAATGAGACTTCATCAAACTAAAAAGTGTCTGCACAGCAAAGAAACCCATCAACAAAATGAAAAGGCATCCTACTGAATGGGTGAATATATTCACAAATGAATATACATTCTCTGATAGGGGTTGATATCCAAAATATATAAGAAACTCATACAACTCAATAAATAAAAAAACTAAACAATCCTAACAAAGAATGGGCAGAAGACATGAAGAGACATTTCTCCAAAGAAGATATACAGACGGCCAACAGATACATGAAAAGATGCTCAACATCACTAATCACCAGAGAAATGCAAATCAAAACCACATGAGATATCGCCTCACACCTGTCAGAATGGCTATTATCAGAAAGACAACTAAGTGTTGGTGAACATGTGGAGAAAAGGGGACCCTCGTACACTGTTGGTGGGATTGCAAATTGGTAAAGCCACTATGGAAAACAGTATGGAGGTTCAAAAAACTAAAACTAGAACTACCATATAACCCAGCAATTCCACTTCTGGGTATTTGTTAGAAAACAAAAACACTAATTTGAAAAGATATACACCCCTATGCTGATTGCAGCGTTATTTATGATAGCCAAGATATATATATATATATATATATATATATATATATCTTGTCACACATATAGTCACACAATGGAATATTGCTCAGCAATAAAAAAAGAATGTAATATCGCCATTTGCAACAACATGGATGGACCTAGAGGATATTGTGATAAGTGAAATAAGTCAGAGGAAGATAAATACTGCATGATTTCACTTATATGTGGAATAAAAAAAATAAAAACAAGCAAATAAGCAAAACAAAACAAAAACAGACTCATAAACAAAGAACAAACTGATGGTTGCCAGAAGCGTGTGGAGTGGAATGGAGTGGAGCAATGCATGAAAAAGGTGAAGGGGAATATAGTCAATAACAGTACAATAACTTTGCATGGTGATAGATGGTTACTAGATTTAGTGTGGTGAGCACCTTGCAAGTTATATAAATATCGAATCAGTATGTTGTACAACTGAAACTAATATAATAATGTATGCAAACTATACTTTAATAAAAAAATTTAAATTCAAAAAATAAAAAAAAGAAACTTCAAACCCAAATGAGCACGTATTTTCCTCTCAAGATCCTCCATCAGAGTTGCTTTCAAACCTTAATGTGCATTAGTCAGAGAAAGACAAATACCATACGATCTCACTTATACGTGGATTCTAAAAAACTGAATAAATGAGCAATGTAAACAGAGATAGTCTCAGAGACACAGAGGAAAAACTGAGGGTTGCTAGTTGGGAGGGGGTGGGGATGAGGGAGAAGGGGAAGGGATGAGACAAAGCAAATTGGTAACTACAATATGGCCTCAGGGATAGAAAAGACAGTCTGGGGAATATAATCAATAAAGTTGTAAATATTTTTTAGGGGGCCAGATGGACTTATGTCTTGTTAGAAAGACCACTTCATAGTCGGTGTAGAGGCCTGACCACCGCATTGTATTTCTGAAGCTGATGTTGAATAATATTGTATGTCAACTATAATTATATATACATATAGTCACAGGACATGGAGTAGAGAGTGGGAATGAAATCAATGGAATTGTAATAGATAAGCATGATATCGGGGATGGGAGGGCAGTGGATGGGGGAGGAGGGTTGTTTCTGTGTGAAGGGTGAAAAAGATAACTATTGCATTGTTCTGTACACCTGAAACTAACAATAAAAAAAAATAAAAACAAAAACAAAAACAAACAAAAAAAAAACCTTAATGTGCATCAGAACCAGCTGTAGGGAACCACCTCTGTGTTAAAACACAGAGCAGTGGCCCCATCCCTGGAGTCTGACTCAGTAGATCTGGGGTGGGGCCCAGGAACTTTCATTTCCAACAAATTCCTAGGTGACGCTGATGCAGCTGGTCCAGGCACTACACCAGATAGAGAACCACTGCTCTAGCTACTGCCCAAGGTTAGGTCCTTCAGGGACAGATACAGACCCTGTCTGCCTGCCTGTGTGGAGACACAGATGGGAGAACTTGTCACCTGGTCTCGTATTCTAAAGATGAGGTCGATTCCCCTGACATTGAACTCCAGCTGGCTAAAAGCTAAAGGGTTGATTTCATTCTCCTCCTCATCTTCATTAGCAGCCTGGCCCCAGAAACGTCAGGAAGAGGCTCTTGTCCCAGGCTCTGACCTTCGTGCACAAACAGGCAAGCAGCATGCAACAAGGAGCAGTGTGTTTAGTCAAGAAGAGTACGGGGTTTCCAGCCACTCCGCCTCTTCTCAAGCCCAGGTGCAGCCACTTCCTGGCTATGTGGCCCTGCTCAAGTCATAGTCCCTGAGCCTCAGTTTTCCCATCTACATAACATGGGACAACGATGCCCACATTCTAGAGGACTGCTGGGAAGAGTAAACAGGAATAGGGCAAGCAGGAATGTAAAGTACCCTACAAATAACAATTATTACTAGTTTCATAACAGATTTGCTTCTTAACAGTTAACTGGTGTCTCCTCCTCCTCTTCCTCCTCCTCCTCTTCCTTCTTCCTCATTTTTTTTTACAATTCTAGTAACTTTTGTTTATTTTTAAGTCTCTCCTCACCCTTTCCCCAAGAATGGGCCTTTACCTTTGAGCCCCAGGATTACTGAGTCTGACTCACCTTCCACGGGTGTATTAACACACTTAGACCCAAGCTGCTCATTGCCATCTCCAGACACTAAAAAGAAAAAAAGAAAAACAATTGCAGTGCATGCCATTAAATTCTTACATTACTCAATTGAAAGTGATGAGCTTCTCAATCACAACAGTTGAGAATAAATGAGGAGAAACACCAACTAAGCAGCTTATCATAAATCATCAACAAGCTAAGATCCTGCAGTCCGTTTTATCTCCTTTCTCCTCATCTTTGCCATTTGAACATCAGATTCCATCCCAGAATCTCCCCAATACTCAGACAGATGCAGAGAAAGAAAATGAGATGCCCTTTGAAGGGGGACAGAGACCACTGAAGGTCTTGACAAAGATCCTTTTACGTTTGCTGTGTGATTCAAGTCAACCCAACATTTTCCTGCCCTTCAGAGCTCTGGACTGTGGCAGGCAGTCATTGATATCCTTGCTATGTTGGAGGGAAAAGAATGAGTCCACGGGGTCAGAAAGACCTGGATGCAGTTTTTCTTCTGCCTTGGACAATCATTTAATTTCTCTAAGCCTTAGGTTTTACATCTGTAAAATGGACATTTTATTTGCTTCTCACAATTGTTATGTTTTTAAGGATAGTGTACGGGTTCTCACTCACTGCCTAACAGACGAGGTGTTGAACAAGTGATATTGGTGAAATCCTCTTTTCCCTGCTTTATTTTTTCATGTGAATGGATCCCCATGAAAGGGACCTAATGGCCCCACCCCTCAGCCTTCCAGTGCAGCTGGTGTGAGTTAAATTTAGATTAGTAAATTTGGCAAAAGGATCTAGGCACATGTGTGGCTCAGCCCCTTCTTTCTTTATTGAAGATAGTGGAGGGACGCTGGTTTAGAGCATCTCACCTATGTTTTGGTTTTTCTCTGCCCTCAGCAGTGGGGTAAGCCCGTAGACCTGTTCTCCTGAATTAGTGGGCAACTCTAACTCAAGGGCACTTTGGCAAGCCCTGCGGCCAGCTCTACACCATGTCCTCCCATATCACCGTTTCAGTAATAAAGGTGTTATTTTGATCTCTTTCTGCCTAACCCCTGTGTCAATTTCTTAATTGGTTCTGACACTGGGGAAGACAGGTGTTATCTACTAGCTTCCTACCCTCCAACAATAGTTGTTATTATCTCAACAATGAACTAAATTATTTCTTCATCTTTTTAAGTCCACAGCCCAGACGGAATAAAACAGAGAGAGACATTCCCCTCCACTTACGGTAGTTCTCTGCCAGGACAGGCACCAGACCACACTTGCCCGCTGTGTAGATAAATCCTCCATCTAAGCTCATGGCATCAGCTTCTCCTTTCTGAAGTAAGAAATAAATCAATAGCACAGCAGTGAGGCTGTTAACCTGTCTCACTGACCCTCAGAGGTTTCCATCTCATTGGCTTCATGTCACATGTCCTTGTGATCAATCAAATCATGAATCACCCAAAGCTTCTGCCACATAAACATGGGTTTAGAAAACTGGACATACATTTGGCCTGTTGACCCAAGAGCAAGAACCCAACCCAGGCCATGGTTCCTGGCCATCTCTGTATCGTCTCATGAGACCCAAGCTGACTGCTGGACATGCCCTCACTATACTTATGTTATACCATGGCCAGACTCAAAGGCTGAATTAATCTGTTTCCATGGAACACGTTTTCTTCCATATGGCAGAATTCAATTCCGTTCCCGTAACCCCATTAGCATTATACTCAGAGCCCTGGCACAGCAAAGATTTTCAATAAATAATTTATCTACTTAAATAATTCATTACAGACATATCTTGAAGATCAATTGCAATTTGGTTCCAGACTACCACAATAAATCGAATATCGCAATAAAGTGAGTCACATGAATTTTTTGGTTTCCCACCGCACATAAAAGTTATGTTTACATTATGCTCTAGTCTAATAAGTGTGCAATAGCATTATGTCTGAAAGACAATGCACATACCTTAATTAAAAAACACTTTATTGCTAAAAAATGCTAACCCTCACATTAGCCTTCAGCGAGCCTTAATCTTTTTGCTGGTGGAGGGTCTTGCCTTCAATCTGTAAAAAACCCCAATATTGAAAAGCACAATAAAGCAAAGCACAATAAAACAAGGTATGCCTGTAATGATTAACTTATGATTTTAATCAATGAATTTTTCCAGCAGAGCAAAAAAGCATATACCTACAGTCATAGATAAAGTCATTGAGAAAAAAACACAGAGACACATACACAGTACTCGCTTCTGGCCTGTTAAGTGCCTTTCTGGAAATCTATTATTTAATACAGTAGTAACTATAGGAGGAAAAACTTGCCGAGCCCTTACTATATGCCAGGGCCTTTTCTCAACACTTTACAGTGATGGCCTCATGTAATCCTCACAAAATTCAACAAGGTACATACTATAATTTTTGTTCTTTTATACATTAGGAAACTGAAGCAGAGAGGATTAAATAATTTGTCCAATAAATGGTCACTAAGACTTAAACTTAGGTAGCTTAATTCCTTAGCTTCTGCTCATAACCACTGCACCACACAGCCTCCAAGCTCTGACTACTTCAAAGGACACATCCCTAAATACATTCTACACACATTGTTTTCATCCATTAAATGGGTGAAAAATCTACCTCATAGGCTTAGCATGAGGGTTAAATGAGTTAAGAGGTCATAAACACGCTTGACATATAGTAAGGAACTCCGGAAATACTAGCTGTAATTAATATTAACGACATACTAAGAACTATTGGCTGTTAAAGAACAAGATCTTCACTCCCACATTATCTATAATAGAAAGGGATTTGGAAATAATCCAAATGTAGACATTTAGAAATTGGTCAAACAAACTGAGGCAGAAATACTTGGTGGAATGTTATGCAGCCACTAAAAACATTTTAAATGAAGACTTCGTTACCTAAGAAGGTGCACCAACTGTGCTCAAGACTTTAAGCAACAAGAACAATAGCTAACATTGATTGACTGCTTACTCTATGCCAGGCAATGTTACGAGCACTCAAATTCATTTAATCCTTATAGTTGACAAATTTAGGAGACTATAAATTGCAAGATCTTAATCTTATGGGTTGGTCCCAAGGAGGTTTACCAACATTAGGATCTTCTTCCCTAGAAAGACTGTGTGTCTCCTAATTTTGTCAAATTTTCAGTCTTTTACTTATAAATGTATTTTTTTCTAATCACAAAAGTATTACCTGTTCATAGAGAAATGTAAAGTTAATAGCAACTTCATAACTCAATAATTACGTGGTGATGATCTCTGAGTTAGGAAGTTGTGACTGATGTTAATTCTTTTTCATTTCTCTTCCAGCATGTAATATTTTTAGAAAAATAAATTAAACTTTCAATAAAGGACTGACAAGGTTGATTTGCTTCCATGATCCGTAAAGGCACTGACCGCAGCCTGGCATTTCACCCCCACTTCCCGCAGGCTCTAGGCGGGACACCACTCAGAGCTCCCGGGTCAAAGGAGCTGAGCACCAAAGGAGGTTGCGACTTGGGCTGGCTCTTTGTTTCTGCCCAGGCCTGAGCTGCAGCCTGTGGGGTATCAGGTGTGTGTGTGTGTGGGGGGGTGCAGCACACAACACCTGCATGTCAGCCTTGAAGCTGATGGGAAGGTATCTGGGAAGGCTCAGCAGAAGCGCCACGTGTCTGGGTGTCCAAGCCCAGCTGTAGAGGCAGGGCCCTCTTACCGCAATGGCAGCAATGCAGTCCTCCACGGTCTCCTCCGAGGTACACCTTAAGGTACCACCGCTCACGGCACTCCAGTTGTCACACTTGGACCTCTCATCGGGGCCCACTGCACACCACTGCACCCTCTGGGGATCTTCCGCACCTAGGACGGGTGGAGAAAACAGCCAGGGGTCCAAAGGAAGCTCCAAGAAGGGTCTGGGGGGCTCGTGCCACTGGTTGCAGAGTGGCTGCCCCAGGGGGCCCTCACTGACAGCAGCAGTTTCATGCCGCCATCGATGCTCATTCCTGCCTATCACCTTCCGGGAGAAATGAGGAACTCGGTTCTGAGAAAGAGCAGCGAAGGCAGGGCAAATCCCCTCCCTCCTGACCGCACCTCCTCAGGCATCGCCTCCCTCGGGGAGGCCTCTCTGAGCATCACCCCAGCTCAGGGCCTTCTGGGGTTTTCTCTCACAGGACTAGGTTCTCCCATCCAGGGAATGTTCCCGGTTGGCAGTCATGTGTTCTGTTCTGGGTGGGCCCGCTTGCTCGCCCCACGCCCAATATCTTTGCTCACCACTGTATGCCCACACCCAACACAGTTGCTTTTGTAGATGCACAGTAACTATTGGTTGACTAAATGGAAGGGAAAAAGAGAGAAGGAAGGAAGAAATGAACTATAGGGATTGAGAGGAAGGCAAGAGCTGGATTAGAACCCTCTGGAATGGTAGTTGTGCCCCTGATGGTGGCAGAGGCCATGTTCCCATTTCAGTTTAGGATGGGCTATTTCCCCATAAAATAGACCTGTTGTTAAGTGGGGCAACTCTGGTTACTACAAAGAAGCCAGAGCCATCATCACTTCAAGTTGTCTGTAATCTCTAGGTAAATTAGGCTTTCTCCCTGCTCAGTAGAAAATCCCCTCATTAACCCAGGGCAGTTGGGCTCTGTAGGCCAGTGAAGGTTGAGTGCGGTGATGTTTGTAAGCACCAGGAAAGCCTCCATGACCCCTACACTGCCCTGCTGCCCTCCCAGGACCTTACATACCTCCTCTTAGATGCTGAGTGGCAGCAAAATCCTTGTATCCCAGGTATAGCTTGGCGTCCATCTTAGGTGGGACTCTTAAAAACCCATGGGCGGCATCGGTAAACAGCAGGTCCTTCCCATGAGGAGAGCCAAAGAGTTGGAATCCTGCTGGCTTGCCTTTTCCAAAATTTTCCTGTTAAAAGGAGAAAAGAAACAGTGAAGGAGGGAGGCTGACATAGAGGGGGCAAAGGGGAAATAAACCCCAAACCAGACAAGGAAAACCGAAAGGGAGAAGAACGAATTCCTGAGAGTGAAGACAGAGAGACCCAAGGCCCTCTGAAGTCCCTGTGGCTCATGAGGTTCTCAAGTCTCTCTCTAGGGAATGCTTTGCTCGGGTCCCAGCTTGTCTGCTGTGTGCAGACTCAGCGAAACTGCCAGGGGCTGCCCGCCCCCATCTGTATGAAGGGGTTTGGGGTTAGTGTGGTCAGGGCAGCTGCCCCTCTCCAATGCCGTGTCCCCACAGGGCAGTTACTGCCTCAGTTCTGGCCATCTGATTACCCTAAGTGGTCTTTGCCCTGGAGCAGCGGGTGCTCTAGCACCCTGCCATCGAGGTTGGAGGTCAGAAGTCTGGGCTCCTCTCCCATGCCAGACCTGCCACTGAAGGATTTCAAGCAGTCCCTTCTCCGTTCTGGACTCTAGAAAAACAAAGGGCCCTTTGCCTATGACTTCTGCTGACTGGCTGGCCCAAAGCTGTTCCTGACTGTAGCGGACAGCGGCACCTGCCCACACGCTCTTTCCAAGGTCTGTCTGCTTTTTGCTTTTGCAGAGGCTCTGCATGAAATGTCACCTGCTGTCTTTTCTAGCAACCCCCACACTTCCTTGGGATGCACACAGCTTATTCCTCAGGACTCAGTTATCTTCCCAGGCACATCCTGTAAATCAGTCCCTCTGTTCTCCACAAAGTACCGGTACATAATCCATGTCTCCAAAGTTATGCCACTCCATCTGGTGATAATTTGTAAGTGTCCAAATCTGTCTGTTTGCAACTCAAGGGCAGGTCTTTGTCTAGTTCATCTCTGAACCCCCAGTGCTGAGCAGAGAGCTGACAGGGATGGGACAGAGTGATGAATGAGGGGGACTGGCTAAGAGAGACTCAGGACAGAGAGAAGAATGCTCATGGAGGGGTGCCTGATGCTGAGGGAAGTCAGGAGAGTGGGATCACATGCCTGTAGGATAATAGGGGGACACTTCATGGAAGAGGGGCATCTGCACTGCTCCCTGAGGACCATCTTACAACTGAAAAGAACACTTTGGGGCAATGAGGAGCTCACGCAGAGTCTTGGGACCACAGGGTCAGTGACACCAGGTGAGGGTGTTATGGCATCCGCTGGTCTATACCACATACAGAATGAGTGGCTTTCAGTGAAGAGGATGATGTGTGGTGTGGTTCCTGCTGTGTCCTGAACCCAGAAAGACTTCCAGAGTGGCTATAAGAGAATTAAGGAAAATGCCCCAAATCTAAGCCGGAGAGGAGAATGGTGGATTTGGTACCTGGGCCTGGTTGAGAAGCTCCCAGATCAGGTCCTCCTTGCCACCCACAGTTCGGGCCACCACAGCATTGGAAGGAACGCTGGACAGGTGGCACTCCTCATATTTGTCCACAGGCTTCCGGGTGTTGTCGGTGCAGAGCAGCTCATACTGGTCCCTGTCAGCCTGTTGTGCCAGGTTCTCTGGGGGAGGAAAGCCCAGACAAACCTACTGCAGGTAGAGCTATCGCCTGTGGTCCCCTCTCATCATTGCATCACTAACTGTTTGACCTTGTTGAAATAGCTTTCTAGGCCCAACATGGAGCCACTCCTGTCCAGGATGCCACGTCAACAAACCGAAACTTAACTAACTTTTGTGTCCCTGTAAATGCTCTGCTTGACCCAAAATGCAGTGTCCCGCCAGCCCTCAAACACCAAGCCACCTCTGGGCTCTCGACTCCTTTCTTTGTTCCTTCTCACCCCAAACAAGGTTGACTCCGTGGCCCTGGCCAATCAGATGTTTTCTATTGGTCTCTTCCTTGTTCTTTATTCTTTGTCCTTCCTCCCCATTTTGCAGTTCTCCAAACGAAGAATGCCTTCTTCACGAAGTGTTAATAAAGTTTGTTTACATCACCTGAACTGTCTTCTTTAGTCATTCTTTTAACAACCTTCATAGGACTGAAATAGAACACGTTCTAAGTACATTTTCTACATATGAGGAGCCTGAGGCCTTGGGAGATGAAATCGTGGGTTCTCACTGCAGACAGGCTTGGTGTGGAGCCTTCCCACTGCCCCTCTTCCCTATGGCTCTGCTAACAGGAAAGGTGACAGCAAGTGTTCACTGAGCACTCACAGCACAACAAAGACTGTGCTGAATGAAGGCTCTTCCTGCTGTGTGTCATTTAATTCTCATTAATCCTGGGAGAGGCCAGTAATGTGACTATCCCATTGTAGACAGGAGTAAACACGCTCAGAGAGTTAAGGCTATTCGTCGAACTCTCAGCAAGTCTGAGGCTGATGCATCCATCGCCTTGCTAGCACAATCCAGGTCACCCATTTGCAACACTCCCCTGTGGGCAGAGCCTGCTGGGGAAGGTGCTGGAAGAGCTGAGGCGATAGATCATAGGGACCCAGTCGTGGCACCCTATAGGTACAAAGAAGGACCAGAAAACCTTGTAAGGCAAAAGAGCTCTTGGGTTTCCCTTGTCTAGCTACTAGAAGGTGTTCTTGGTTGAATTGTGTCCACCCCCCCCCCCATATTCATATTTTGAAGTCCTGCTCCCCGGTACCTCAGAATGTGACCTTATCTGAAAGTAGTCATTGCAGGTATAATTACTTAAGGTGAGGTCATACAGGAGTAGGGTGGGCACCTATTCCGGTATGACTGGTGTCCTTATAAACAGGAAATTTGGACACAGGCACACAATGCACACAGAAGGAATGCCATGTGAAAAGAAAGACAGAGATTAGGGTGATGTGACTACAAGCCAGGGGACGCCAAGGATTGCCAGCGAACTACCAGAAGCTGGGAGGAAGTCATGGAACAGATTCTCCCTCATAACCTGCAGACGGAATCAATTCTGACAATATCTTGATCTTGGAATTCTAGCCTCTACAACTACGATACAATGAACTTCTGCTGCTTAAGCCACCCAGTTTGTAGTGCTTTGTTGTGGCAGCCCTAGAAAACTCATATAGAAGATCTTTGAGGTTGATAAAATCTCATTGAAAGTGAAGTACAATTAGAGTTCTTGAGAATGGCTATAATTTTAATTGGCATATTGTACAGAAAATACATTTTAAATCTTTATATTAAAAGAAAAACATTAGAATGATTTAGTAACGTTAGAATTACATTAAAAGAATCAATATGATCTAATAGCTTCGGAAATAACTTTTCCACCTCAGTCACTTACGGGCCCCAGTGGTGGCAGCCCTTCACCACCAACACATTTCCACCCCTAAGGTCCAGTGGGTAAACTCTCATAAAATTCTACTTAAAAGGTAACATGGGAGCATATATAGTAGCGGATAAGTGACTTTCAGCAAAGATAAATCAGGACGGTCTGGGACAACCTGTTGTTTTCATGAAGTGAGGGCGTTTTCAAATCCTTCAGGGTGAGTGTTAAAAGATGCTGCCCACTGACATGACTGTGGTAACTTGAGCAGCCGGAGGAAATAACGATGCAGTTATTTGGAACAGCTTGATCCTGGGTCATCCCACAGATGACCCACTAATTATAATTACTGATAATAAGACATGCATCAATTGCCAAAATGCTAACAAACCAGGCCGATGTGTAGTAATGAGGGGACAGTGAATTGTGAATGGCTGAACAAGGGAACAAAGCACATAAAACTATTTCATGTTAAAGAAAGAACTGGGTTATGAAGAACTCAGGCCCACGTAAAAAGTAAGGAATTAAAATTTTCCTTGAGGTAGCAGATATTAACTTTAAAATGAACCTAGCAGAGTGAATATACATTTGGTTTTAAACGTCTTGAGTGATATAAGTATGTTCTGTGCCTGATAGAAATTTAATTAGTTATAAAACCCCAAATCTATAAACTCAATTCATCTGAAAAACTATTCTGTTTGGTTTTTTTGTTTGTTTGTTTGTTTCTGATAATTGCCCAAAACTCTGGAAAACTTTTTCTTAAAATATAGAAATAAAGGATAAATACATTTTTGTCCATGGTAATAATGCCTTTGCAACAGATTTAATTGTACATGTGCTAATAAGTTCTGAAGTCATTATGATAATTTGTGTGTTAGCTTAAGGTATTTGACGCATTTAGGAGCCATTTATAATAAAGCATTCAGTAGAATGTGATTAAATTTGAAAGTGCTATTTCAGTGACAAAGAGAATTTGACCATTAAAACTCACTTGGTTTCATTAATTGTTAAATAATGTTCAAATGTTCAGAAAATTTCTTTAGTAGACTTACAGACTGAACAAATTGAACACTGAACAATGTACAAATAACAGCAATGTTCTTTATACAGGAATTCTATTCCATTAAAGATCTTGTCATGACCCATCTCTAGATGTAGGGAAACTTTCAGGCAAAACCCAGTTCCCACGGCCAGGGTGCGGCCCACTTGATTCTTCCCCCATCCAGCACTTACCTAACACTGTCGTATGCCTCACGAAGCCCACGTCCCCCACACCATCTTGCAGACACCTGAGGAACAGGACAGCTGTAGTCAGGACTCTCTAAGACAGGGCCTTGCCGCTCCCCCATGCAACTCCTCTGAGGTTCTGTCCCTGTCACGAGCCCACAGGGTTTTGCCCACTGCTACCTGGGCTTCTGTCTCTCCTCACAGAGGTGATGGCCCTGTCTGTGGGGACTCTGAACATCCACAGCCAAACCCAGATCTGAAGCAGGCAGGAGCCATGTAAACCACATTCCAGGCAACGCTGGGGACGGACGAGGCGAAAGTAGGACCCTCACCTTTCTCTTCAAAGGAAGCGAAGGATTTTTCTTTTTTAAAATAAAGGTTTAAAGCCTTTTACATGGACAATAAAAACTATGGATAGCCTTGGATTCCTGGCCAGCTTAGCTCTGGTTTTGAGTACTCGTCATTTCTCTTACTGAGCATGAAGTATGGAGAGGTGTCTGCAGGGGGCTGAGAGGGAAGTGGAGGAGGCAGGCACATGTCCTTGACACAGAGAGATGCTCAGGAAAAAAGAAGCAAGCTGGAGGTCCTGGCCTTTAACCCAGCTCGGAGTCCAAGCCTGTGTCTGTGGATTCCAGAGTCCCAGAGGATGGTCTATCCCCCCACCCTCCAGAAGGGTCCAAGGGGGTGACATAGACAGACCCAAGGCTCTGGGGAGACCAGAGGGGCTCCCACACATAAGACTGCTCCTCAGGATGGTTAGGAGCAAGGGTGGGCCACAGGAGGGACTCAGGATCCTGGGTGTGAACTCTGATATTCTAGGTGGTCTGGGCAAGGCGTGGCTGCTTCCTGTGCTTTAGTTTTGCCATCTTTAGTGCGAGTGGGAACAGCGGCCAGTCTCACTCACTTGAAGGCACCGGAGGATCCAAAGTATGGTTCGTTGTTGGAGCAGGCACACTTGTCTGTCCCTTGCCCAGCACACAGTTGACACAGTTTGGGGAAGGCCGTCTGATCTGCACAGGGGACACAGCTGCCCGCGAAGAAATTGGCCACTGCTGCTCAACACAGAGACAGGGAACACAGGGTATGAGCCAGCCTGGCCAGAGGCAATGACAGCTCCCAGCCCAGGCTCAGGGGGCCTCAGAGAGGGACCGGAACAAACCCAGCTCGCCAGGCCCAGCTTGCCTGCACGTGTGTTCTCTCTTTAGGATCAAGGGATTCCAAAAAAGGACGCATGAATTCCTGTCCTCTCACTGCCCGCTCCAAGAACCAGGCCAGTGCCTGCCACCAACCAAGGCCTGTCGCAGGTCGCTGTCAGCTCCCCTCCCTGCCTTCCCAGACGGGAAAAGCTCAGAGAGAGTTCTCCCCTAGAAGCCACGCCTGGGAGAGGGGACACCCGCCTGGAGAGGGGCAGGCCAAGCTCATGGCCAGCCGGCGGCCACCAGAGAAAGCTCCAGCAGAAAGGGAACACATCAGCCAGACAGGAAAGCACCCCAGGGAGTGGGCAATGGGGCCCAGCAATCCTGGCCCTGCTGAGCCCTCTGTCAGGCCTGATGACCCTCCCCCATTCCTCAGGAGCCCCTGCTGGGGTGTTGGGAGCTGAGACAACAAAAGACAGCTGACACTTCCCAAGGGCTGCTGGTGCAGCAGACCTGACAAGTTTAAAGCTGGGTAACTCCCACCTCCACCCCAAGAGTCGTCACACATGATCACCTGATCATGTCTGAGTGACAGCAGTGTGGCCTGTGCAGGCACCTAAAGAAGGGACATCTGCCGGGGGCCGGACGAGTGGGGCAATGGTTAAGAACTGGCTTGGGACGCCAGAGGGCCCCGGTTCGGATCCCACATATGAGGGCCAGTGACACTGCCCTCCACAGCTAAG